TTATCGTTATTAAAATTACTATGATGGTGCATTGATTGAAAAAGGTGTCGCATCTTGTTTTTCGATACGGATCAAAGAAGCAGCAAACCTGTTATTATTATTATTAGTAATGAAGAATGAGAGAGAGAGAGAGAGAGAGAGAGGGGGGGGAGAGGGGGAGAGAAAACACGAGGTTGTTATAACTAACATGTGTTTGTTAGAACCTGTTATTTTTCAAATATTAATTGTAAATTTTTTTTGCATTCGAATCGATGCAAAAAATTGTTATAATCGTGCAAACGACAATCGGAATCTAACAAACAAACAAACAAACAAAAACATTTATTTGATCATTTAAAAAAAAAAAAAAAAATTAAAATTTCTAATCAAAACAATCCCGATTATCGATAATCGGGATTGTTTTGATTAGAAATTTTAATTTTTTTTTTTTTTTTTTTAAATGATCAAATAAATGTTTTTGTTTGTTTGTTGTTTGTTTGTTTGTTCGTTTGTTTCCAAATGCAAGTGTTGTATAATAATTTGGCTTTGACCAAATACCCTTCACCTGCGCGTTGATTGATGATTTAAATGTTCCAATAAATATCAGGCACTCGCGTAAAAGTTATACGGGCTGAGTCAGCTTATTAAAAATTTTTATGTTTATGCGTTTTTTGACTGACTCGTTACGAAGTTATTTTGCACACTCGATGCACACGTCGCGTCACCGTATTGAAATGACAAGAGACAGGGGGAGGGGAGGTGGGGAGGAGGAGGAAAAGAAAGAACACGTGGAAAAATCTCGAAACGAACGAAACGGCGAGACGGTTTCAGGTTTTGGACGAAAACATTAACGCATAAGTTAAACATTAACGATGACCTATAAAATAAATAAATAGTCACGCGAAAGTAAGTGGGATATGATGCATTTTAAATGTCGAACGCCGCATGTATTTACTCGCTGACCGTGTGCGCGTGTTTTTATAACCGTACACGCACACGCACACATACGCACACACGTGCCCGCAATTAAATAAAAAGAAGAAAAAAAAAGACCTCGACAAACACGGTCAAGCATAAATCTATTGAAAAAATTTGTTTGTTTTTATCCAAGACGACAACAACGACGACGACGATGACAATCGGATGAAAAAATGGCAACAAAGCAAATGAATTATTATTATTATTATTTGTGCGGCTTTGTCTGTGTTTGTTGAGCTTTTACGCGAAATCCCGTACGGTGAAAAGCAACCGACATGATTGGAAACAAACAAACAGAAAAACAAAAAAAAAAGGAAATCGAAAAATTCGATTGCCAATCAATATAAAATGGAGAGGTATAACTGCTCAATGGGGAAAACGTTTTTACCTCGGTTAGTAGAATCAGTACCATGGTATAGACAGGTACAGAAATCGTAGTCAGGGTTGGTAAAAAATTACAAAATGATAATGATAATAATATTGAAATCGTTATTTGTCGTTTTTGTTATTAATTTCTTTCGGCGGATTTTTTTTTTGTTTTTTTTGTTCGGCTTTTGTTTCGAGGGGGGAAGAAGAGGAAGGGAGGGGGGAGTGGTACTGATGAGTGACAAGAAGGGAATGACGTTTAAAGTTCTCTTTTTTTTTTTATATTTTTTTTTATATCAGAAGGATGGGCAAGTACGAAGGCTCTTTTGGGAAGGTTTTTTTAGGTTTTTAAATTTTATAGCAAAGTCGTAGAAAAACGTGATGACGTAATTGTCGAGATTTCGATTTTCAAACGGATTTTATTATAATAATGCATGCGACGAAAAAAAATGTTTGCAAACCCTGATTCGCATTTGAATCTCGTCCAAAGTGAAGGTACTCGGTATTTGCTACTTGGTAGTCTTTCGCCGTCCGGGTTCGGATTCGCGTGGAAAAAGAAAAAAAAAAAATTTTTTTTTTGCATTTTTCTTTTTTTTTTTTTTTTTTTTTGTGAGCGTGCGAACGGCGAACGCTTTACGATTTTCGCCAAGTTTTTTTTCCGTTTGTTTGTTTATTTGTTTGTTTGTTTTATATTTTGTATAAAGTAATTGTCGGGAAAAAGTTTTAAGGTAAAAATTTAAATAATTTTCAATTTAAAAAAAATTTTTTTTTTTTTTTATAAATATTTAAATTTTTTCCGTCGCAGTTTGTTTGTTTGTTTTTGTTGTTGTTTGTCGTTAATTAAAAATATTTGCGGGATTTGTTCGATTTGATTTCGGTTGTTTTTAGTAAAAATTTTATTACGCTGAGAAGATTTATTATAATAATATTTGTCTCTCGACCTCGTTTAAATTATTCGCCAACGCGAGTCCGACTGTACATATAAACGTTAATAATAATAATAATAATAATTTTTTTTTTTTTATAAAAATGGCAAGTGTTACGTATGTCCTTAATAACAAATAATTTCGCAAAAAAAAAAAAAAAAAAAAAAAAAGAAAAAATAAGATAACAACTGCGAAAACTATGAAATGATTTCACAAGTTAATTTTTCCCCCCCCCCCCATTTTTCTCTCCCTTGTTATTGTTTATTATTATTATTATTATTATTATTATTATTATTATTATTATTATTGTATTATTTTATTATTAGCGAATAAAACATCTCTTTTTTTTTTCGCAATAGGTTTTCCCTTCGCCATTTTTTTTATTTATTTCAAGTTTACAACAAATCGTCGTCAATATTATTATTATTGTTGTTGTTGTTGTTGTTGTTGTTGTTGTTGTTCTTGCTGTTGCCATCGTCAATTGTTTTACTCTCTTTGGTTTGCTGTCGTTTGGTCGTTTGGTTTGCTGTTATTCGTACGTAAAGGGCAAAGGGAAAAAGGGATGAAGGGGGGAGGTTTATTCGAAAGAAAACTAATAATAATAATAATAATAATAATAATAATAATAATAAATATTTGAGTTAAAAGTTGGAGAATAACCTAAAATTGAAAGTTGTTGTTGTCGTTGTTGTTGTTGTTGTTATTGGAAAATGTAAGTTTTCGCAAGAAGAAGGTCTTTTACTCGGTAAAATAAATAATGATGAAGAAGATGAAAAAAATAGTAGTAATAATGATAATAATAAAACCTGTATAATCCGGCTCGATTAATTTTGCAATTGTTGAAATGAAACGTTAACACATGTATAAGCAGATGCTGCGAAAAAACATTATTTAAAAAAATAAAAATTTTATTTTTGATATTAAAAAAAAAAAAAAAAAAAAAATGGCGTCGGTTTTTAATTACTTGAACTTACGAACGTGCAATATTCCTATTATTATTATTATTATTTTAAATAATGGGAAAACGAGAGAGAGATAGAGAGAGACATATTTACGATCGAATTTTTATTTATTTATTTAATTTTTTTTTCTTGCACATTTTTTTAATTGTTCGTTTGTCTTTTTGCATTCTCGTCGATCGTCTTTCTCATCCATTGTTGTATTCAATGACTGAGTGGGAATTTTCTGACAAAAAAAAAAAAAAAAAAAAATTAACGCGTAGGTATATCAAACAGGTTTTTTCAATTAAAAAAAAAAAAAACCTGCCAGGGAGGGAGGGATGAATGAAGGGATTTTCCTTAAATTTTTTCTTTTTTTTGGTTGAGAAAATGTTTATAAAATCGCGAACCGTTAATGAAAATAAATGATGATGATGATGATGATGATGATAATTAACGTGAAATTGACGCGCGTGTAAAATGTTTAAAAAAAAAAAAAATGCACACGTTAAAACTCCTCAAACGAATTCAAATGGAACTCGTTCGATTTTTTTTTTTTTTGCCAACCGTTTTCTCACGTCGAAGTGAGTGAGTTTTTTTTTATATTTTAAACTTACCGCAATAAATTTTTTTTTTTGTTGTTGTATCGGAAATGGCGGCAAACTCGTATCTAAAAGAAAAAAAAAAAAGGGAAAGAAAATAAAATAAATAAAGAAAGAAAAAAAAATGGCCAGAAACGTCGACCTTCGAATTATTATTTTTTTTTTAATTTTGGTTTTATACTTGTTTTTACTGTCAGGGTTGTGAATTTGTTGTTGTTGTTGTTGTTGTGACGCGTTTGTCGGACCGTTTTGCGTTTGTTTGTTTTTTTCTAGGTTTTAATGTTAAATCCTCCCTCGAAACGGGGTTAATTTAACCCAATTGATTTCCGTTAAAGCGACTGGAAATGAATCGTCGTAAGTCGTCGAAATTGTTGGATTTTTTTCAATGACAACTTGACGAATGAATATTACCTGGAAAAAGAAGAAGAAAAAATTTCGCAATTCTCCAGTAGTTATGTGCGCGTTTAGTCAACGTTAATTTTTTTTTTTTTTTGTTTTCCGATTGAAATCCGTTGAATAACGTCGACCCACATTGATAAAACCGCGAGACATTTCTTTTATTTTCTTTTCTTTTTCCTGTCCTACATTTTAACTGCAGATGTTAATTATTTTGTTGTAATTTAAAAAAAAAAAAAAACAAACGTTTTGTTTGACACGCACACACACTAAACAAACAAAAACGAGAGTAACTCGAGTATTATCGATTCGCCAAAAATAAATCTCGTGTAAGCAAAACACAAAAAAAAAGGATAAAAAATGATTCAAGACGTTCGATACGTTGTAAAATGTTTCCCTCGGGTGGAATCAAACACCAGAAAAAAAAACAGCGGGAAGTATGTGGGAAATAATATGTATGTATAAAAATCATGGGTGTGAAGAAAACGTTTTTTTTATTTTCATTTGATTCTTGTTCCACGACGGAAAATCAGAGAGAGAGAGAGAGAGGAAAAAAAATTATTTATTTTGAAATCTATTGTCGTTGACGTGGGAGAGTGAGAGAGAGAGAGACGACAACAAACGTGAACATTTTGTATTCGTTCGTGTGAAAAATGACATTTTTTTTTTTTTTTTTTTTTGAATTTTCCTTGAAGTTTTCCGCCCGCTCTTTCCCTTTCCCCTCCTCGGCCCCTCGTATTCGTTTTTTTGAATTGTAACAGTTTTTTTTTTTCCATTTCAGATTGAGGTAGCGAAACCTATATGAATGCCCCATCATGAGAAATTCGAACCTGCTCAAGTGGGCTCATCCCAATAACAACAAACAAAACAACAAAAATGGAAATCCGAATTGGATTCACACTCCGGACGCTCTACAAAAAGGTCACATCGCTTATCTAGTCAAAGTAAGTCGACATTTTTTTATTTTCCTTTTTTTCCTTTTCTTTTTTTTTCTAAAAGGCTGTGGAATCAAAACCTCTCTCGACTCTTTGAGACTCTTTTGAAACACGAAACGTCGAGAGAAGAAGGTATGCAACCGTTAATAATGTAACCGATTAAGAAATTTTAATTTTTTTTTTTTTTTCAAAACGCTTTTCCTTAAAAACAAAAAAAAAATTTATTATTATTAATATTATTATTATTATTATTAAATTTTTTATTGCTTACGTAACGTCCTCCATGAGTACGAGAAAATGTGCAAAAAAATTTATGTGGCCGTGTTACGTAATTATTTATAAAAGTATTTATCTCGAGAGAAAAAGAGAGAGAGAGAGAGAGAAAACTTGATTTTATATGGAGTCAGGTATTATTGTTTCCAACAACAACAAACAAAAACAAAAAAAATTGTCGTGTTTTCTTGTTTGTCTTTTTTTATATTCCCGGATTTAAATTGCCATTATTGATTATTATTATTATTATTATTATTATTATTTTTTTTTTTTTTTGTTGTTGTTGTTGTTGTTGTTGTTAATATATCGAGTTGCTGCTGGAGTTTTCAATTTTTAAACGATAATAAATTCGAAATTGATTATTTATGTTATCATTATTATTATTATTTGTGTCAACGATTTCGAACGACAATTGTTTCTGGAAAAACTCGTTTTAAATGTTTTTTCTTTTCTTTTCCTCCCCCTCCCACCTCTTACCGTTCTTTCCTTTCCCGATCTGTAGTAAAAATGGTTTAAGCGGTCACTGTATAATAAATATAAAAAAAGTGAGTTTTCTTATTACCGAATCGTGTCGAACCTGTTTTGATAAAGTTATAAAAACTTTTTTTTTTTCTTTTTAAATTTTCCAGGTTTCCGGTTTTTTCTTTCCGTAAAAAAAATTATGCATGACTCTTAAAATTTCCAAGAAAATTTTTCAATGTCAAAAGGAAAAATTGTTGCGATGGTTTTTTTTCCTTTTTGTTGTGTTTAACGGTCGAACGTGAAATTTTTTTTTGTTGGAAAAATTACGTAAGAGAGAGAGAGAGGGGGGAGAAAGAGAGAAAGAGAGAGAGAGAGAGAGAAATTCTCGATCGTTTTATTATAAATATCCTCCGGATTATTAATTAAAAAACACGATTAGTCGTTTTTTAATCTGTATCTCGTATTCTTCTTATCGATAATTAAAAAAGATACAATATTATCATTATTATTATTGTTGTTGTTATTATTGTTATTATTATTATTATTATTTAGATAGTATTGAATACAATTTTTAATTTTTTTTTTTTTAAATATATATTTTTCTGATCGAACAAATAAATCCAAGTGTGAAAGCGATCAATTATAAAATTTTTTTTTTTTTGGGGGGAAATCTTAAGTTAACGGTAACAATTATTTACCGACTAGAAAAAAAAAACAATAAATAAATAATTAATAAATTAAAATGTAATCGATTATATTATTCGATCTATCGATCGATTGTTTCTCTCTGTCTCTCTCTCTCTCTCTATCTCTTTACCGTTATTCGAGAGTAAAAAAAAAAAAAATTGAGTTTTTTTTTTCTTTTTTTTTTTTTTTTTGAAAGCTTTAATTAGGAAACAACAAGAACAACAATAAAATATATTATTATTATTATTATTATGATCAATGCGGAGAAAGTTTTATTATTATTATTATTATTATTATTATTTTATTACCTTTCTTACGGTTTTGAATTCATCAATCGTTATAAATATATAATCAAATTTTTTTTCCGGTAACGGCAAAGAAACAAAAAATAAATAAATAACGAATTAATTTTATTTTTCAACCAACCCTCTTAAAATTCCTCCCCCCCTTCCCCCCCCCAAATTATTGGAATCGGTTAGGAATCGAATTTTACTCTCTCTCTCTCTCTCTCTTTTTTATTCTTTCTCTCTTTCTTTCTTTTCCTTTCAAATGGGTGATACGTGTTGATATGATTGATAAATCGATTCTTTCTCTACATTCCGGATATCATCGATTCGAATGATGACTTTTAATAATAATAATAATAATAGTATCCGGTGAGAAATTTATTTTATTGATTTTTTGCAAATAGTCATCGTTGCCATTGATGATGATGATGATGATGATTATCGTTTTGTCTTTTTTGCATTCGTATTTTGTTCAGGAAAAAAGAGAAGCAGAAGGTTTATTTACAAAATTTACTTCGGATGTGTTTGTTTTGTTTGGTCGGCCAAGTGACGTAATTATTATTATTATTATTATTATTATTATTATTATTATTATTATTATCAAGAAACGGAATTTGAATGATTTTTGCTTTTACTTCAAGCTTTATCAAATAGGAAAAAAAAAAAAAGAATTCAAAACAACGCGAAATTTTCGATTTTTTTTTTTTTTTAAGTTGGTAATTCTGAAAAAGTGAAGAATATTTTTATTTGTTTAAGTTGGTAATTCTGAGGAAGTGAAGAATTTTTTTTATTTGCGCATAAATATTTATTTATTTATTTATTCTTTTTACGTTTAAAAATTTTTTAATGTTTACGAAAATTAAAAAAAAAACAAAAACAAGCGAGAGGAAACTAACGAAAGGAAAATTTTTTTAAAATGTTAAAAATTGCCTTAAATAATTATTTCGACCTTTTGAAATTAAAAAAAAAAAAAAAAGAAAAAAGGTCAAAGTTCACTTTGATTTTATTTTTTTCCCATTGTAAAAAAAAATATTAATTTTTTTTTTTTTGTTTCTAAACGTACACGCATGAAAGATTTGTTTAAAAACGAACAAGAAGTGATTTTAAAAAAAAAAAAAAAAACACGTCACGGGTGTTTTGAAGCTGTCAGGATGTTGTATTTCCTTTAATTACGCGATCAACGGATTTTCTGTTTTCTTACTCTATGGAATGCGAGATTTAAAATCAATACGCGCGTAACAAACGGTCGTCTCGTTATTTATCGGAGAAAAAATAAAAAATAAAAACGACTTATTAATGCAGGTCGTATTGGTGAATGACCTAGGTAGGAAGAAGAAAATTTGTTAAAAGGTATTTCAGGTTTAAGTTCGTCAAAATATTAATAATAATAATAATAATAATAATTAAACGAAAAAAAAAATAAAAAAAAACGTTGTTCATAATTAGCAACAGTTTAATGAACTTTCATTTTATAAAAAAAAAAAGGGGGGGGAGGAAGAGAATAATGATAATTAATATTTTGCAAAAGAAAATAATTGCTAGAATAATTAAATTTTGGAAGGTTTTTTTTTTTTTTTTTTTTCTTTATTGTTTAACGGTTTTTAAATTTTGTGTTTCCGCCCCCTCCCCTTCCCCCACTCACCCCCGTTTCCTAATGACGGTCAAGGTTGTGTCGTTTGTTTGTCTGTTTGTTTTACTTATGGGAATAGTATGCGTTTTTTTTTTGTTTTCTATGTTAAGGAAACGTTCGTTCGTTTGGGAATTTCGCGCGAACGTGGATTTGATTGTTTTTCTCTCTCTCTCGCTCTCTCTCTCTTTCTCTTTATGTTTCTCTGACTTTGTCTCTCTCGCAAAGAGGACATTTAGAAAAACGAAGAGAGAAAAAATCGGGGAATCGTTTCAAATCGTCGTCGTCGTTTTACTTTCATTCATTTTTTAAATAATCACGTTCAGTTTTTCTTTTTTTTTTTTTTACTCTCTATTATTATTATTATTATTATTATTATTATTATTATTATTATTATTATTATATATTTTTTTATTTTTTTGTGAGGAGTTTAAGAGTGATTTCGAGGAGAAAAAATAAAAATTTTGATTTACGCGACGAAACAATTTTTAATGATAATGTAAAAAAATTACGGTGAAATTTTTTTGTTATTCTTTTCTGCGAAAGTGAATTGTTTAAATTCAAGTGAAAGAAATAAATCGAAATCGTTATCATTATCATTATTATCATTATCACTATTATTATTATTATTAATTTTTTTTCTTTTTCGAAATGCATTTCTTCAATTCTATTTATCCGTTTTCCAGTGATCGAAATGAATAAAAGAAAAGAAAAAAAAATTTTCGTTTATCGAGTTATCAAAAGAAAGAAAGAAAGAAAATAATATATATTATAATTTTCCAAAACGTTTTAGATCACGTGGGATTTCCCTCCCCCCCCCCAAAAGTTTTTGAATTGTAAATTTTCCCGCCAAAAAAATTAGATATTTAAAATCCATAAGCAAGAAGAAAATTTTTAAGCTTTTACGACAACGCGAACGAAAATTGATGAAATTGCCTTAACCGAATTAATCGAACCCGTCGGTTATTATTATTATTATTATTATTATTTTATTTCCTCCCCCCTCTTCAGGAAAACCCGCAAATCGCAAAATCGGAAACAATGTGAACATAAATAAATATATTTAATTAAAAAAAAAAAAAAAAAAAAAAAAGCCCAAAGCGAAAATCGAAATCGGAAATGTGTCCGACAAAAAAATTAATTGTTTTCCTTTTAAAAACTTGATTTTTTGAATTCGAGATATCGATTCTCGGAAATCGAACGATTCGATATTGAAAAATTGTTAATTAATAAATGGTTTAATTATAGAAAAATGCCCTTTTGAAATAAATAACTAACGTTCAACGAATAAATTTTTTTAAAAATGTTTTCCCGGTAATTTCTTCGTTTTCGTTTTCGTTTGTTGAGTTGTTCCAGTATGAGAAATGCTATATTATTATTATTATTATTAATCGGTTAATCGGAGTACTTTCTAATAATTATAGCGTAATTTTTCAGCTAAAAATAACTCGGGCGCCGTTAACTTGATCTTCAATAAATGAATATTTATCTATGAAATGGTGGGAGAGACTTTGACTTTATGGATATTATTTTGACTTTGCGTGCGAAACACGTTGTTGTTGTCGTTGTTGTTGTTGTTGTTGTTGTCGTTGTTACCTGTCGCTGTCGCAATAAAAAGTTTTTTTTTTCCCTTTGGATCCGTGTATAATTTTTCAACGATTCGATCAAAGTAGAAATCAAAAAGAAGTTTTTTTTTTTTTTGTACGCCTGTTTCTAAACCTGAGTACCTGAGTAGTAAAAATTAATAAAAAAAAATTTATTTAGAAAGTGAATTGTGTGTGAATACACTTAAACGAAAAAAATATCGTTAGTAGTAGTA